TTTGGATTTAGAGGTTTTCAATGATGCTGAGCAAGATGAGAATATCAAATCAAAAATATAAATTTTGATGAGTGCTTCGATATCTGGCATGGTACTCGATGATATCATGGAGGCTCTCTTAATTCGTAATGAAAAAGAAATTAAAAAAACAGAAGAATGGTTGCAAATTGCCAGAGAAGAAGAATATCTACAAAAAAGACTTCAACAAAAAATTAATGCTTCAAATCAAGAACCAAAAAATTCACCATTCTTTGAACATGCATTTCCAACAGCAACAATTCAACCAACACCAACAACTGTTCACTTATCAAATCAACAACAATTTCTGCCACGTCATTATTACAAAAAACAACATCATCAACAATCAATATCAACAAATAATCGAACATATTCAACATAAAATAATCATTTAACTTCCCAACATAATCGAAAAGATTATCCAGGTAACAAAACACAACAATTAAATCCATGTTTAATTTGCAACAAGAACAATCATACAACGACAAAATGTTTTTATAAGAAGAACAACGGCTGTTTTAAATGTGGACAATCAATTCATCAAATACGTGATTGTCCTCAACAACATTTTTTTGAATAAGGGGATCGGCTGATGGCGACGATCCCTGTGGAGCAAAAGAGTCATCAACCTCAACAACATTTACTCCTATTTCCGTCAAAATCATATGCAATAACACTCCACAAAAAGCACTCATTGATACAGGATCGGCCATCACTATTATTCATCAACATCTATTAAATGATATACCACATGAAAAATTAATACCAAAAACAATAAATCATTTATCTGGAAATTGCTCAACATTAAATATTATTGGTGAAATACCTTTAGAAATAAACGTTAATGGAATAAAAACAACAACTATTGCTGATGTTACAACAAATCTTGTTACAAATTTAATATTAGATAGCGATTGGATTCAATCAAACAATGTTTATATTCTTACACCTGAACAACAAATTATGATCCGACGTCGAGGTAAAGAAGTATCAATTCCTTTTGTAAAACCACCTCTTTTAAATTATCTAGCTAGTCTTATTAATTATATTACTCTTCCTCCTTTTTCAGAAAAAATAGTAGAAGCAAAAGTTCAACCCAACAATATAACTGATGTATTATTTGAACCGAATTCTCGATTAAAAAATAAAGCATTATTTACTGGCAATGCATTACTCAATATTGAAAATAGAACAATAGAAATTAGTATAATTAATGCGATGAATCGACAACAAACGCTTTCCGAAGGAATCAAATTAGGTATAGTGACACAACTATCTTCCACAATTGGAGTCACCGTATCATCAAATTATTTAATAGAACGCATTCCAAAAGGAAAAGCGTGTAAAGTGCTCATTCCTGAAGGGAAAGGAGCGAAAGCATCGAATACATCAAATTTTAATCACATGCCAACTACAACATCACATGACCAACAACATCAATGTCGTGAATGTTATCAACATTTTAACACTGGCAATGAACTATTTAAACACCTTAGAAACAAATGTTATCCTGAAGAAATAAGACAACAAATAAATAAATCAATTGAACATATTAATGATGATAAACAACGAGAACAACTTTGAAAAATTTTATGGAAATATAGAAAATTATTCGACATTAGAAAACCATCAAAAATTGATATTATCTTTAAAAATGCTATCGGTACTGGTACACATCGACCAATTCATACTTCACCATATAGGAAATCCAACAAAGATCCAGAAATCTTAAGAAAAGGAACGGAAAAATTATTAAAAAATTGAATTATTGAACAGTCAACATCTCCATGGTCTTCACCAGTCGTATTAGTTAAAAAGAAGGATGGAACAACAAGATTTTGTGTCGATTATCGTCGTTTAAATCAAATTACAACAAAAGATGCTTTTCCTCTACCAAGAATTGATGATATTTATGATCAATTAACAAAAGCAACATATTTCACAAAATTTGATTTCAACGCTGGTTATTTTCAAGTACCATTAGACAAAGCAGATCGACCAAAAACAGCATTTTCAACTCGAGATGGACATTTTCAATTTAAAGTATTACCACAAGGCCTTACTAATGGTCCACCAACATTTCAACGTATTGTTAATCAAATATTAGGTAGAAATAGGTGGAAACATGTACTCGCCTATATTGATGATATTATTATTTACTCACAAAACTTTAACGAACATTTAAAGCATATTGAAGAAGTATGTTCATTATTACAGGAAGCAAATTTTAAATAAAATGTTGATAAATGTGAAGTTGCAAGAAGAGAAATATTATTTCTTGGACACGTAATTAAAGCTGGTACTATTAAACCTGATCCAAATAACATTCGTGGCTTGGCCGATACAGAAGAACCAACATCAGCTGAAGAAGCATTTAGATTTGTCAAAGCAGCAGAATATTATAGGAAATTCATTCCAAAATTTTCCACCGTTGCTGCGCCATTACATAAATATTCACCAGCAACATCACAACAAACAATTAACAAAAAAACAAAATTTGCATTATCTGCTGAAGCAAGAGAAGCATTTCACCAACTTAAGAAAATCTTAACAACTGATCTTATTCTTGATGGTCAAGAAAAGTGAGCTCCAAAGTGCGTAAACTCCAAATTTGGAGCTCACTTCCCCATCGGTCCAAAAAAATTAGCTCCAAAGTAGGTCAGATTCGAAATTCAAGCTCGTGTAGCCGTTTCCTGAAAGGATAGTACCACTATCTTGCTACGCTACTAGCATTACCTGGGATGCTCGTAGCATTACCTGCGATGCCAGTAGCAGTACCTGGGATGCTAGTAGCATCAGCTGAGATGCAAGCAACATCACCTGGGATGCTAGTAGCATCACCTGGGATGCGAATGGCATCAATTGCGATTAGGCGTGGCACTTAAAACTTTACAAACACTTTAACTTTAATTAAAGTTTTAAGTATTTTACTTTAAACTTTAAACTTTAATCTTTAACTAAAGTAAAAATTTTAACACCTTAACTTTAAAAAAAAAGTTAAAGTTGAAGTGCTTGTGTCATGCCATACTACAAGGGTACCCTTAGGTCCTCAAGTGCTATACTATTGGAGTACCCTTAGGTCCTCAAGTCCTATTATTGGGGGTAACCTTGGGTCCTCAAGTCCGGTTATTATGGAGTACCCTTAGGTCCTCAAGTCCCACACTACAGGGGTACCCTTGCGTCCTGAAGTGCTACTATAGGGCGGTACCCTTGAGTCCTTAAGTGCTACTATTGAGGGGTACCCTAGAGTCCTCGAGTGCTACCATAGAGGGGTGTCCTTTGGTCCTCACGCCCCAATATAGAGGGGTACCCTTCGGTTCTCAAGTGTTACTATAGGGGGCACATTTGCGTTCTCCAGGGCTACAATAACGCAGTCCCATGGATCGCCAAGGGCTGCTATAACGGCGCACCATTAGGTCCTCAAGGGAAACTATAGCGGAGTACCCTTGGATCCCCAAGGACAAATGCCCAGGCTCTCTTTCGCCGTGTTGCACTGATTGGAAACCCCAACATATACCCATCAATCGATAGAGCATCCTCGGGAACCATAGGATCGGCCGCAATATAGCCATGTGTTGTCCTTGTAATAAGGAAGAAAACACCTCCTGAAAAATAATTGGTCCATTTTTTGTACCAATTGAACGCCGAGTTTGTACTTGAGTTCGCAACGGTGTACTGCAATAGTAGCTATTGAGGACCTAAGGGTACCCCTAAAGTATGGCGTGACACAAGCACTTTAACGTTAACTTTTTTAAAGTTAGTGTTAAAATTTTTACTTTAATTAAAGTTTAAAGTTCGAAAATTTTTCACTTTAATTAAAGTTTAAAGTTCAAAGTGTTTTACTGTAACTTTAAACCTTAAAGTTTCAAGTGCCACCCAGGTTGAAAAATCTGACATCAGATCGTAGAGGATCTTATAAGATCTTGTAGTCTGAAAAAAATCTTACAAGAATCTGACAAAAAATCGTAGTCTCTGATTTCTTACACTAAATCGTATTAACATATCCTATAAAGATCTTACATGCACTTTATGTTCACCACAAACTTATAGTGCTATTTGAGGCCCATATGAGTTTAAATAGAATGGTGCTGTGATTAGTTCACGACGCAACAGATTCTTACAAGGATCTGTTAATACGACTTAGTGTAAGAAATCAGAGACCACGATTTTTCGTACGATTTTCGTCTGATCGTATCAGAATAAATATGATCAGACGTACGATTCTTCTAAGGTCTTATTATCTGAATGTTCATCCTGGGCACTTTAACTTTAAATTTTAAAGTAAAGTTAAGGTGCCACCCCTACTTGTGATACGAGTGGCATCACTTGTGATACTAGTAGTATTACCAGGGATCCTACTGATTACACTAGGATGCTCCTAGCTTCCCAGGTAATGCCATTAGCATCTGAGGTGATGCTACTAGCATCTCAGGTAATGCTACTAGCATCCCAGGTAATGCTACTAGCATCCCAGGTAATGCTACTAGCATCCCAGGTAATGCTACTAGCAACCTAGGTAATGATACTAGCATCCCAGGTAATGCTACTAGCATCCCAGGCAATGCTAGTAGCAACCCAGGTAATGCTATCAGAAAGCTAGGTAATGTATCTATGCAATATCACACACGCCTCTCTACCTAAGATTCCAGGCCAAGTCAGTTTAATTACTGTAAACGAGAAAACATGGACTGGAGTTGTGGTAAAATATGGATGGGTAAGTGAGCTCCAAATTTGGAGTTTACGTGTGAAGCTCACTTTCCTTGACCTGAAGTAATCAATACTCAGCATTTTTATCGAAATAACCAATGTTTTTAATTTAGTTTCCTGAAGGGCTACACAGCGGTTGTTTTTTTCATTATACACAAGCCATTTATCGACGTATACAAACTTTAGGATTGACCACAGCTTATTCACAAAATGGTGAAATTCGTACTTATTGTCGTAAACTGATGGCATTGGCGTTACTACCGGTCGATCAGGTGGAATCGTCATTTTATATTTTACGTAAAACAGCATCGGCTACGGTAAAACAAGAATTACATCAACTGTTTCTTTATTTTGACAATCAATGGATCACGAATGTACCATTGAATATTTGGAACGTTCACGCATTTCATCATAGAACAAACAATAATTGTGAAGGTATATATGTCTGAACTTTGTACGCTTTTTTTATGCCTTATTTTAGGTTTTCATAATCGGTTAAATAAAAGAATTGAAAAAGCATATCCAAATATGTGGACGTTCATCAAATGTCTTCAAAATGAAGAAAATCGATTTCGTCATCTTCTTCTTCAAATGAATGCTGGAGCTCAAGCACGAAAAAAACACAGCTGCAACAAGTTGGATTCAGAAACGTATCGATACACTCAATGATCGATACAAAGATGGCGAAATCAATATTGATCAATTATTAGATGGCTTGTCACTCACTATAGCGAAGCAAAAAATATAAACATTTATATTAAAAAAAAAACCTTATATTGTTAATTTTTTTTTGGATACTTATCTATATATATAATGTTCAGTGTCTGTCTGTCTGTCCCGGGTCAAAGGTTAAAGGTCAAAGGTCAGATAAGGCTATAAGAGGAAGGTTGTAAGGGCTGTTATATATGAGAGCACTCATGGGTCCTCAAGAGCTATTATATGGAGAATCCATAGGTCCTCAAGGGCTATTACATGGAAGTACCCATGGGCCCTCTAGGGCTGTTATATGGAAGTACCTCTGGCTCCTCCGGAGCTATTATATGGAATTATCCCTGGGCCCTCTAGGGCTATTATATGGAGGCATCCTGGAACCATAAGAGCTATTATATGCAGGTACCTGTGGGTCTTCAAGGGCTATTATATGGAAGTGCCTCTGGGTCCCCTGGAGCTATTATATGGAAGTACCCCTGGGCCCTCAAGGACTATTATATGGAGATACCATAGGTCCTCAAGGGCTATTACATGGAGGTACCCTGGGCCCTCAAGGGCTATTATATGGAAGTACCCTGGGCCTTCAAGAGCTATTATATGGAAGTACCCCTGGGCCCTCAAGGGCTATTATATGGA